ACACACACACCCTGTCTACACCAAAACTACAAGCGTTCACCGCACACGCGTCGCCGCCGCTTTTAAGCTTTTGTGAAATTGCTTTCTTTTGCCGCGGAGAACCGCCTTATCTTAACTACGGGCCTGAAATCCTTCCAGGCGGGCGTACACAATATCAAGCGTTTCGAGAAATGCCCGTGGAGTAGAACTATGGGAAAATTCGGAGCCCGCGATGTCGATATCGTCGCCGTTGTGTTAGTACGCCGTCGCGTACTGCAGTCCCCCGTTGGGGGAGGGGGGGGGGCGGTCTTACTACGATAACATGGCGACAGCGTTTACACTCTATGTATTTACGCGAGGCTCGAGTATTTGGGGATAATGCTGCCGGTTGGTGTGCCCCTTTGTGCCTGATATTATCGCCCGTGACGCCAGCGAGTGAGATGGCGACAGGCATGACTGCTCAGTAAACAGGCGTCGGCGGCCATGTTTTGCTGGTTGAAGCGAACCCCCTTGCCCTTGACAGCGAGCGGGGAAATGCGAAAAAAAGATTGTATCGGCCGTTTTGCCAGAACTAGCGACGAGTGTCGTCTGCGGTTTCCGGCAACTATTTTGCCATAATCGTGAGCTTAGCGAGGAAATGATTTTTGCTAGCCACAGAACACTACCACGCAGAAAGGGAATGCTTGAACATGTTTTTGTTCTGGATATATATCAGGAATATATATGAGAGAGAGAGAGAGAGAGAGATGAAGGTAGAGCGGAAGAGGGAATAGCATATAGTGTCGCAGGAGAATAAAGTAAACAAAGTTCCTAGTGGCCGATGGCTGCATGATCTTTTCTCGGATCACTAGTCCGTAATATGATACCTCTTTGTACACAGTAGTTTCTCCTTAATTTAAGTGTGTGAACGATTTGTTTAGTTATCATTGGCCTCATCTGAATAAAAATATATAAAAGATGTGTGTTGGTTTCATGAAACTGGAACTCAGAGTCAGTTCTTGTATAAAACACTGCTAAGTGTAGGCTTTGAAAAAGGACCCTACTTTGGGGAGTTGTATCTTCTTTCTCAATAAAATGATGCAACATGTTTTTAATGGAAATGAATGCCGAAATAGAGTATAACAGGTTACATAAATTTAAAAAAAATCGAGGGTGGTGTTTTTTTTTTTTATTCGCATCGGAATTTTTCTTTGTTTGATTTTTTTTTTCATGTTTGACTAAATATATCCTAACTATTGTATCATACAGATACCTTAGTTATTTTTTAAATATTAGCTATATATTAGTAGAATAATATCTGCAAATTATATCATAATGATTAAATTATTTCGTGAGATACAGACCTCCAAAGTTTGCCCTTTGTCGTTCGAGCAGGCATGTTTGTCAATTTTTAGAAAAATAAATAAATTTTAAATAAATATGATTACTTTATATTACAAGCAAGCTGTACCCATAGTTTGCGCCTAAAACGTATTAGAGTTCTCCTAATGTTATCGCTTTAGTTATTCACTCTCAAACGGGCCCCCTCCATCAGTGCGCGTTATTGCAACTGTCCACCACCTCATGCCTTACGATTTTTCCTGTCCCCAAGTATTTTTTCTAGTCAAAACTAAGTTTGGATTCGTTCATACCAGACACTAGACAATAACATATAAAAACATCAGTTGATTTGAAAATGTCGACTAGCCATCCTTTGGTCGATCTTATCTGAAATCACCCATTAACAGTGTTGAAACAGTAGTCAAGCATAATTCGATGGTTTCATATTTCGCAAATTTACTAATATGTCGATTTTCCTAATATCGTACAAAAAGAAATGTCGTGACCTAGAATATATTTTCTATCTGAATAATATATTTGCATAACCAACCTTTTTAAGATTATTTTCGATTCAGAGGGCTGAAGTCACTGCGATATACAGCTGGTTTAAAATATGTAGGCGCTGATTTCTTTCAACAGAAATAGCGGCATTAAAAATGTATTGACTACTACCAAGTTGGTGCAACGCAACATGACCAGAAAATCGAAGACAATGCAACGAGAAAATTAGGATGGTGCAAATTGTTTTGCCTTTGGAACGTAAAACCGCAGACGAGGAGTTTGTTGTATGTTTAAAAAAAAAAAAAAACAATACTAATGATTCAAGCTATGTACATATGCATTTTTAAAGAAAAATGTTGTTTGGATGTTTTACTGTACTTAAACAACGGATTTTACGCACCACTTGGATACATATGCACTTCATGTAGTCACAATGTCTTGGCTTCAAATTCGACCAAGTGAAGCACTTCGAGTTATTTAACGAATTGATAGTCTGCATTGGTAAAACAACAAATAGCAATTCGGCAAATATGTGAATAACACTCTGGAACGTGTTTTTTTTTTTAATAACAACACGAAGCGCCACAAAGACAGCGCATCCGAGCCAGAACGCTAATTTGGTATCTTAAATAAATAAATAAAAAAAATACCCACCTTATTTATTTTTTTCCACCGGCCCCACGCCAGAACGTTCTGACGTGCGGATGGTGTTCACATTAAAAGACACTGCCACAAATGCAGTTTCGACAGCTTTGACTGAGCGCTAAAGCAAAAAAAAAAAAAAAAATCAATCACAAAGAACAGTATTAATCAGGCGATCGCTAGAGCTCAGGAGACAAATAAAATAGGTACAAAATGCATCATTTTATCGCCTAACATCAATGTTACCACGTGCCCCCACATGTACGGTAAGGAAGGACTTCGAGCTCGTAGTTTTCGCTGTTTTACAGATTAGGATGAGACAAGATATTGTTTTCAGTGCAGAATGTAACAAAAAAAGGCGTCCGTATGTTTTGTGCCGTCACACACCATACCCAAGCAAGTACAGCATCTTCAACTATGCAAAGGACAAAACGGACTTCCCATCGTTGCGGAAGTTGCGCACCAGATGGCGCGACCTGACGATGTAAAAGACACGCCTTACGCCCAGCTGGCTTCATCTTCGTCTTTCAGGAGGGAACGTTCTGTCAAAACTACTACGTCCTGCTACTCTAAAGTATGCACTGGAAGGCCTGTCTAGACAAGCCTTCCTCAATGACCGTATGAGTGAAGCCTTAGCATCCTGCTTAGGCTTCCTTCAAAGCAGAGCTTGGTTTAGGCCTCCCTGTCGTCAAATCTGGATCAACCCATAGACCCTTCTATGACCTCTTTCGGTGCTGCTTGACTGGTTGGAATGCTGCATCAAGCACTCCAGCAAGTATGTTAAATGCCAGGGCCAGCCAATGTATTCTATTCCGCTGAGTTGTGGCGGCCAATACATCGGAAAAACGGGAAGAACTTTCGCCCTAGGAAACGCTTCTTAGAGGTCACCAAGGAGTCATGTGAAACTTACCGTCCAATTGTTGTGCACGCTCGCACCTGCCGTGATTGCACCCCTAGCTATAAATGCAATGCGGTGCATATGGTTCACACAAATACAAGAAAATGGCCGAGATATAATTAAAGCATTTAAGATGAAGAATGCTACAAACAACTTTATACTGTTCTTATCGACACAAGAGCTGCAATTGCTCGCGCCAGAGGTACCCTAAAAAAAGCTTATTTTAATTTTCGTTTTTTTTTTTTCGGAGATTTAATCTCCCAATTTTAAATTCTCTTCTTACGTTCTTTTAAATTTCTTAAATTTGCTTCGATTTAAAAGTAGCCTATTTATCTCCATCTTTATATTTTGTAGTATTTTTGTTTGCCTTCAATTATTTTTGTTACCGCGGTGTTCGTAGTGCGATGGACTATATAAATGCGTCATTGTTCGACGAAAGAACTGTGAGGGTATATGATTCAGTGATTCCATTTCAGTGAATCATTCTTTCTCTATGAACTATAGTTTATCCAACGCGGTCTGCTACGTGTAGAGAATCCGCATGTTGGCGTCAATTAAATTTATATTAGTGTCTATAGTTACTTTTTATTAAGACGCATCTTAGTATTTGTATTACGGAACACTTTTTCAAGTATCGCAACCCAGCCCTGGTTGGGGGGAGGGGGGTTGGAGTTAGTTTTTTCTGCGGCCCTCTCTGACCTCCGGTTGAAGACGCATAAAACTCAGCACAAAGGCCTTGCTATTAACGAGGCATTTGTGCTGGGCATTCTACGTCACCTAACAGAGATAAGCGTTGGATGTAGAGTGAAAACGAGCAACGCGGAAGCATTTAGATCTGAGTCGTGTTCTCATTGAATAAACGTATTTCCCCGTTGAAAACTAACGCAGCAGTCGCGTACAATCTACGTCAATTATCGGAGGTTGCGCTGGGCTGCGGTAAATGCGACTTGAAAAATTCATCACTGCGCCCTTTTCTTGTGGCTGTAGAGTGAACACACGATAAGAAGGCGGAAAAGGAAAGTGCCAGACGGGAGCTGTGAAGCTAGTCCCGATGGGCGCCTGGTGTCTCCACTGTGGATGAGGAATTTAGTCAGTGCGGTACCACGACCGCATGCTGGGATGATGCTAATCCAGGCTGAAATAGGCAGGGGTTGGGATTAAAACGCGGACCCCTGGGTCCTGCAGGGCCAGCTTTCATTCACGTTTCCCGGGCTTGTGTGCGTTAACGCAGTCAGTCCTCCATTAATTAATTAACTTATTTATTATGAGTTACCCACAAACAGCTGGACGCCTCCTTAATGGCGCAGTTATTAATGTCAGCTAGTTATCAAATTGTTCGGACACGATAAAAATATGGAAACCCTGGACAAAACAATGGTAGCAACACACTTCCAAATTTACGCCCTTCATGAACAACATCTCGGCTAACATTTCCACAAATCCGTTCTAAATGACTATACGCCAATTGAAGGCGCGTCACGGGTACTGAGTGATGTAAATCAGAAGTCCACTACACCTAGGAGAAACGTGCCAGTTGGCGTGACTCAACTGTACCATTTACGATCTTATACAGAAACATCAATCCACGGATCGTCCTGTTGTGCAACGTGTCCAAATCCGCTCCCATGCGGAAGAGCCATTGAAGTAAACAAAACAAAAATACAAGGTTGCTCTTTATTTGTCGTAAAATACATGAGAGCAAATAACATAATAATAATATCTTGATTATTCGCACAAGGTTGGGTGGAATTCATTCGAGACTAAGACAAGTAAATAAAGTTGATTGATATGCGGAAGTATCTCGCTTACACACACAAAGCTCTAAAAATGAAGAAAAGAACCCTTCATACTACGACGATGTAATCTCAGAAAAACAATTGGAATTCGCTAATCGAACACAGCTCACCCAAGTGCCAGAAAGATATTTTTTAATCGTGACGTTGCTAATAAACAGTTTATTGCTGAAGGTAAAACATTCATTTTCTATTTGATATGATCAATTTGACATTTACCATTTAACCAATGACCGCTGACATTTCAAGATTGCCGAATCAATCGTCTTTCTATTGCGATCAGTTTCGTAAGATATGAAGAATGGGCTATTTATGTTCATAATTACGTCGACTATACTCCGTTTTGTTTGAGTACTCAGCGTGGCAAAAGCTACAAGAACGACATCCAAGCTTTCAGCGCCCCTGACTAGACAGCGTACTCGCGCTGTGCAAGAATCTTTCAGGGAAATATGGATGGGACCCTTAAAGGGAAACTGAAGCGGTATGTACTGAAATCTTCTTCATTTAGCCTTCAGGATTACGAATTTAAAATATATATTTCAGATTGATGCACCAAGTACCCACAACAGCGCTTTAAAAATAGCGCTGAAGCCCCTCCTTCCCGGCATGGTCAGTGCAAGCAGGGAATCGGGGCGTATTACACAGCTAGATATGTCAATATTCCCGTGCCTTCCGCAAGCCTCACCCGAGCAGTCAAAAATGCTGCAAGCGTTTCCTCACAAGGTGAACGCGCAGGGCTATTGAAAGGTTGAAACCTCTGGATTTGACGTCACGTTCGGGTCAACTACTTGTGCTATTCAAATTTACAGGACAAAAATACGCTGAAATTCACCTCGAACTCGTTTTTCCCAATAATCTCTTCAGCTTTCCTCTAACTTCGGCTTCGCTCGCGCATAAAGTGAAACAAATGGTACATCGGCCTTGTACCGGCTCAAAAAAGCAATCTTAACGATCCGTAATTTTTTGAAGAGATGAACTCTAGTTGCCTCGTAAAGGCAGAGTCCTATGATACAAGTTGGATGCTTCTGCAAGACAGTGATTATTACCGCGATATGACAGGCGGCCGACGAAAATATAGATATAAATGTGTTCGACGTTCCTGTGTCCAAGCATTTTTTTTAGCCCTTAAAGGCCTAATCTGCAGATGTAAATTTCCTACACAGGCTATAAATGCGAGGTTCTCAGTTGATCGGGTTCTAATACTGGGTGGGTATTTAGTTAAAATAACGGAAAGATTGACAAAGCTGAGCCTCTTTAAAAGTTTTTTTTTGTTTTGTTGATAATACCTAAAGGTACACAAACACAACAAAGACCGGCACAGTAGCGCCAACATTTATAATTAAAAACAACAACATAATACTCGGGGATTCCAGTTTTGCTACATAATACATGATCCTGACTACAGTTAGCACATGAATACTTGTATTATAAGAACGTTTCAGTTTTCGCTTCTATTGTATCCTTCCATTTTTCTAGATTTTTACTGGATTACCGAACACATATGTAAAAAAAAAAAAACGGTACTAAGACATTGAAATTTTGTTTTCATCATACCGTCAAATCGACACAGATACATTCGAGAAGAATTTGTTTTTGTGATATTTCGAGGCTCTCTGTTAGCTTAGAGTCGACGGCGAAGTCTTCATGCCTTCTTCGTCCTTATTAGGGAACTGCAAGAATCATTGGAGCGTCGTACTTGATGGAGCACTGAAAGAAACAATAGTTCGTCCAAATTTATGTTATACAAAGAACGGCCTGTATAGATATTGCCATTCAGACGGCGCGACCTTTGGAGGTGTATATCGCGTGCCTTGATGATTGGCTAAATTGATACAGGTTGATTAGAAATTTTAATTCGAAGCGCATTTTGCGGCACTTCTATGTATTATAAGTACGGTTTTGTGTTTTCGGGGCATATTTTTAATCACACTTGTGTGCGGTTTTTTGAGTTTATATTTTCCCACACAGTGGATGCTTTTCTGTCTATTTCTGATATCGGACAAAAATATTGGTGTTTGTCAAAGCTTCCCTCTAAAAAAAAAAAAAAAAAAAAAAAAAAAAAAAAAAAAAACATGTAGAATTAGCACGACCTGGATAAGGATTCAATCTTCAGGGGACGTGAGCTCGTTTCGAATACGAATAATTGTTATTCGTGCATGATGCACTTCTGCCGAGGATGGGTTTGGTTAGGTCTTGTTCAATCGTCGTTCACCTAAGTACTTTCAGAAATGGCGATTATTGCATGGCGCGGTCCACTGAGTTTAGGTTAGGTTAGGTTAGGTTTTGGTCACTTGCCATTCGTCATAGTATTTTGATAAATGAATAATATTGCATGATCCCATTCTCCGGAGGTTAGGTTAGGTTAGTTCTTGCTGATTCGTCATACACCAGTGTCTTCTGATAAATTGTTACTATTGCATGATGCCGTTCGGCTAAAGTTAGGCTAGGTTATTAGGTCTTGGTCACCCGTGATTTGCCAAAGTATCTTGATAAAAGGCGCTTAATAAATGATGCGAGGATAGGTCAGGTTAGGTCAGGTTAGGTTAAGTTAGGTTAGGTTAGGTTAGGTTAGGTTGGGTTAGGTTAGGTTAGGTTAGGCCTTGGGGACTTGCCATTCGCGAAACTATTTTAAAGCATGATGCTTTAAAATAGTTCTAATCTTGACATTTGTCCGTCCGTCCGTCCGTGCATTTCCCAATAAATTTGGCGGGGAAATTGATATCACGTGACCTGACGTCATGTGATCTCCACGCCAATCTAGTTCCCCGCTAAAGTTAACGGCAAGATTGACGTCATCTGACATATATATATATATATATATATATATATATATATATATATATTATTGTCACGTGACCTATATCCTATACAAGACTGTATAGAGTCCTCTAAATTAATTTAATTGATCGCTTCTTAAATACTGCATTTTATGTTTTACAGGTCTTTAAAGTTAAAGGTCGCGGCCAGTTTTTGCATAATGCCGTTCTATTGAGGTTAAATTTGGTTAAGTCGCGTCTTCGTCAGTCGTCATTAGCAATTTTTTCAAGAAATGGCGAAAATTGATGTCGTCATGTCGACACATCTGGCGCGTCATAAAAGACGCGCTTGATTTCTTCATAGACCGATAGATCTTTGATTCAGTTGACAACGATACGTTTGTAAATAAAAGCTACTTGCCTTTTCCAGTTTTTCGCAGATAGGCAGCTTGACCTTGGCTACGGACATGGCAATAGCAAACGCGAGCTTTATCGCGGCTAACACGTACGCTTGGAACTTCTGAGGATCGACACCGAGAGGGACGGCCGCTATTGGTTCGGATGTTGACTTGTTTTCCGGACTGCACCTGAAAATGAAATGTCCCGCACTTAGTCAAATCAAAGATAAAAGGCGAAAAAATGCAGAAAACTAAATAGCACGCTTGCTCTAGCTCGAACTGGTAGGGGATAGGGCAGCGTATTAGTCGCTGTTGAGGGACGCTGTAGTTTACGGAAGCGTGAAAATTTAGATATGTTCCCGAAGAGTTTATGGGTAGAAATGTAGTGTTCAAGGAGATAAGGGTACCCCATCGAGCAACATGGTAAAACCGGAGACACAAAAAATAAAAAGGACAGACAGAACGCCGTCTCAGACAAAGCTAAAAAGTTTTATTCACAACACCCCTCCTTTATAGCGAACAAACCTGAGCCAACGCGGATGTGAAAACACAGTAAATGCTAGTATAAGCAAAAGTGGGACCACCCATTGGCGATATTTAGTCCATTACAACCTACGCAGCCAATCACGAAGTAGCCACCCAAAGACTGTCAAGAAGGGTGTTGTGTCACCCCTCCTACGAAATGCCATGCAAAAGTCTTATGGTCATTTTTTTGGTAAACACCCTTTCGGTCCAGTTCTTGCTGTTGGTTCGGTCAGGTTATCAACCAGGCCTCATTTTGAGTGCCGCAAGGAAACTTTTGAATGACCTTGGAATAAAAAGAGAAGAAAAAAGAAAAAAAAAATCAGAGAAGTGGGTGTGCCTTGCGTTTTTCACGCCATTTCTCACAATTTGAAATGTTTGACAGCGCGGTTTGGTGTTAGAGTAGTTTTCAAAAACGACTTTCGCCTGAGCCTGTTGCCTCTCTTCTTAGGAGTACATGAAGAGTGTGGCAAAAAGCACAGAAATCCGGCCATGTCGTGCAAAAAAGGTGTCGTCTTATGACGTCTGGCTTTTCTCATGTTGGTCAGACCGGCCGTTGTGTTAATGAAAGGCTCCTAGAGCACGAAAGGACAGTGCTATCAAGGTCGTCCAACTTCGAAATAGTCAAGCATCTTGATGATTGTAACAAGTGCGATCCCTAGTGGAAATTGGAAGAGGTAGTTTTCAGAAAATTGGATCCGCTTAAACAAGTTTTGAAGGAAACGATTAGGATTACGTCAGCAGGGAATTGTGTTAGCGATTCTTCGGTTGCTCTGGATACATTTTTTGTGGTTAATTTCGTATTCTGTAATTGATTAGATATCGGCGATGGGTCGCCCCCATTTTGCTAATACTAGTATTTGCTGTTTTTCTATTTCGGCGTCGGCTGAGGTTGGTTTGCTATAAAGGAAGGGTGTTCTGAATAAAACTTTTTAGCTGTGTGCGAGACGGTGTTGTGTGTGTCCTTGTTTTCCGTGTCGCCGGTTTTATCCTGTTGCTTAATATTCCCCAGCTCACCTGTGCCCTAACTCTTTTTTCAGGTATCCCATCGGTTTGTTTTAGCATTTTCAAAAAAAGAAAAAAAATAAATTAAGTGATTTTCGCCGGCGTCTTGTTGGAATAGAGAACACAACAAACTAGTTACAGGGATATAGGCTGTGTTCACGAGAGATCTTAATACTAGAGCTATCAAATGGTCACACTTCAATGTTCTTGCCGCATTTCATTGTAAACAGAAGTGTCGCAACATCCAAAACTTTGATTTACTTTTAGATATTAGAGAGCACAGTCAGTGTTCCTAATAACCAATTTATTACATTAAATAAATGCTTCTCAAATCTGGATTGTTTACACGTGACTCTAGACGAACTTCGTATGCTTTCATTGGATGTATATCTTGACGCTCTTGATGTATTGCTTTTTGTTTATAATTACACAGTCGTCAAGTTTTATGTCTTTTCGCCACACTCCTGGTATAATTATTTCTGCTGGAGTCGACTTCAGGATATATATATATATATATATATATATATATACACACATCATAAAACCGTATTGATTAGAAATCTACCTTGGAATCCCTTGATGTAAACAACCAAGTCATTTTTTTTTCACTAGGATTAAACTGGAAATGATGGAGACATATATTAACTAAAAAAAGCAAATATTTAAACTTCGCTAACTGTATTTCTCGCGAGCTAAACACTATTGAAAAAAAAAACCTCTTAGACAAGAAGGAGCAGTTTCCCATTGATTGGCGATTAAATTGATAGCCTGTAAAAGCTGTTGAAAGCCATGTAAGAATATCCAGAAAGCGTCATCGCCAAGTACACTATGATTCGGGAGAAACGGATCTCGTCAATATTCCAGAGAAATTCTCGAAATACGCTATATCGCGACTTGGAAAATATATTAGCTTGAAACATGCCTTAATTATCGAGGAAGCAATGGTGAGCCTGAGTTGATCGCGTATCATTTTAGATATGCAAAAAAAGAAAAAAAAGATATCAACCACACGTCAACCGCGTTGCCTCCCTTGTATGGCTTTAGTGACCTAGTAAGTTCCGTTTATGTCGTTCAGGAGTGTTTCAAGCTTTGCATGAAAGTGTTGCGACCCATAGGATCTACAGATCGCATAGTAATGCATTCTGCAATTCCTAGATATTCTTAAATATTGGCGCCTATAGTATGCTCTAGTTTTAACAACTCATTGAGGACAAGAATCTTCTTGGAGATATGAGAAGTACCGGTGGTTGCTCCGGTCTTGAGGTCAGGCAACACTAGAGATGTACTTAATTATATACCAATGTATCTTCTCTTCCTTTTTGAAACTTTTTGAAATGGTTTAGCACAAATTCCTGTTTTCCAACTTTAAAAATCTAAGAATCTCTAATCAATATGACTTCATGCCCTGCAGCTGGATGGCTATAAATTTAGCAACTTTTATATGAACAACATCTCGAGTATTCTTTGACCCAGTTCAACTAGATGCTTTTTCGATTCGACATCAGTAGGTCTTTCAACGTGGTTAATCCAACCCTCCTTTATCAAAGTCTTTCAATTACGAAATATAGAGCTCAGTATTAGATTCGAAAGTTATTTTTCAAATAAGCAGGAGTACATTTGTGTCAACAATAGGGCCTCTTCGTTGTACAAAACACTCACGTAAACGTGATAGTTTGCTCGTCCCTGCATACGTTAGGTGCAGCAGCTCGCAGAAGGAGGCAGTTAAAAAAAGTCCTAAATTTTAACATTGATTCTTTGGTTAGTTTTAACCCATCTAGAGTACGTCTTTCTTGTGTGAAACGGGATTTTCACAACTAACCTGTTGAAGGTCCAACGTATAAAAGATACTATTATTTTCATTCCCACATATTGTTATCTTCAAACAACCCTACATTGCACAAACTGTGATGTTGATTTATAACTCGTAAGCATGCTCACCCTACACCGGAGTCAGATGAAAGCGAATTTCTTGATTTTTGTTTAAAACCCCGCACGGCTTGGTTAAGCCTTAGATTGAGCCTTAGGATTCAACCCGTGCCTAGACTGCTCCAGTCTCCTTTTATACACCTTCATATTATGCCAGTTAAGCTCAGTCCGAAGATCGACTAAGCGTTAAAATCATTATTCTGACGTACTCGATATCCATAGCGCTGTCTGCACTAGGCTTCATTGCTCTCTCAAAAACTTGCCCACAAACAGAACTCAAAAGTACCAATATGGCAATGTATTTTCACGTAGGCTATTCTTTAATAAAATATAAATGCCTTCTTACCCTAGATCATGGTGCGTCGTTTTAATATCCTCGGGGCCGGCCCAGTACCTTGGATCATAGAGTTTTGGTTTTATTTCCTCGGGGTCGGACCAGTACCTTGGATCATGGAGCGTTGTCTTTATTCTCTCAGGGTCGGACCAGTACCTTGGATCATGGTGCATTGGTTTGATCTCGCCGTCGGACCAGTACCTTGGATCATGGTGCATTGGCTTCATCTCATTGGGGTCGGACCAGTACCTTGGATCATGATGCATTGGCTTCATCTCATTGGGGTCAGACCAGTACCTAGGATCATGGTGCATCGGCTTCATCTCATTGGGGTCAGACCAGTACCTAGGATCACGGTGTATTGGTTTTATTTCCTCCAGCTCAGACCAGTATCTTGGATCATGGTGCGTTGGTTTGATTTCCTTGGGGTCAGACCAGTATCTTGGATCATGGTGCATCGGTTTGATCTCGCCGTCGGACCAGTACCTTGGATCATGGTTAATTGGCTTCCTCTCATTGGGGTCGGACCAGTACCTTGGATCGTGGTGCATTGGCTTCATCTCATTAGGGTCAGACCAGTACCTGGGATCATGGTGCATCGGTTTCATCTTATTGAGGTCAGACCAGTACCTAGGATCATGGTGTATTGGTTTGATTTCCTCGGGCTCAGACCAGTATCTTGGATCATGGTGCGTTGGTTTGATTTCCTTGGGGTCAGACCAGTATCTTGGATCATGGTGCATCGGTTTGATCTTGCCGTCGGACCAGTACCTTGGATCATGGTTAATTGGCTTCCTCTCATTGGGGTCGGACCAGTACCTTGGATCGTGGTGCATTGGCTTCATCTCATTAGGGTCAGACCAGTACCTGGGATCATGGTGCATCGGTTTCATCTTATTGAGGTCAGACCAGTACCTAGGATCATGGTGTATTGGTTTGATTTCCTCGAGCTCAGACCAGTATCTTGGATCATGGTGCGTTGGTTTGATTTCCTTGGGGTCAGACCAGTATCTTGGATCATGGTGCATCGGTTTGATCTTGCCGTCGGACCAGTACCTTGGATCATGGTGCATTGGCTTCCTCTCATTAAGGTCGGACCAGTACCTTGGATCGTGGTGCATTGGCTTCATCTCATTGGGGTCAGACCAGTACCTAGGATCATGGTGCATCGGTTTCATCTTATTGGGGTCAGACCAGTACCTAGGATCATGGTGTATCGGTTTGATTTCCTCGGGCTCAGACCAGTATCTTGGATCATGGTGCGTTGGTTTGATTTCCTTGGAGTCAGACCAGTATCTTGGATCATGGTGCATCGGTTTGAACTTGCCGTCGGACCAGTACCTTGGATCATGGTGCATTGGCTTCCTCTCATTGGGGTCGGACCAGTACCTTGGATCATGGTGCATTGGCTTCATCTCATTGGGGTCAGACCAGTACCTAGGATCATGGTGCATCGGTTTCATCTTATTGGGGTCAGACCAGTACCTAGGATCATGATGCATTGGCTTCATCTCATTGGGGTCAGACCAGTACCTAGGATCATGGTGCATTGGCTTCATCTCATTGGGGTCAGACCAGTACCTAGGATCATGGTGCATCGGTTTCATCTTATTGGGGTCAGACCAGTACCTAGGATCATGGTGCATCGGTTTGATCTTGCCGTCGGACCAGTACCTTGGATCATGGTGCATTGGCTTCCTCTCATTGGGGTCGGACCAGTACCTTGGATCGTGGTGCATTGGCTTCATCTCATTGGGGTCAGACCAGTACCTAGGATCATGGTGCATCGGTTTCATCTTATTGGGGTCAGACCAGTACCTAGGATCATGGTGTATTGGTTTGATTTCCTCGGGCTCAGACCAGTATCTTGGATCATGGTGCGTTGGTTTGATTTCCTTGGGGTCAGACCAGTATCTTGGATCATGGTGCATCGGTTTGAACTTGCCGTCGGACCAGTACCTTGGATCATGGTGTATTGGTTTTATCTCATTGGAATCGGACCAGTACCTTGGATCATGGTGCACTGGCTTCATCTCATTGGGGTCAGACCAGTACCTAGGATCATGGTGCGTCGGCTTCATCTTATTGGGGTCAGACCAGTACCTAGGATCATGGTGTATTGGTTTGATTTCCTCGGGCTCAGACCAGTATCTTGGATCATGGTGCATTGGTTTGATTTCTTTGGGGTAAGACCAATATCTTGGATCATGGTGCATCGGTTTGATCTCCTCGCCATCAGACCAGTACCTCGGGTCAAGGTGCGTTGGCCTCGCCTCCTTAGAGTCGGACCAGTACCCTGGATCATGGTGCGTTGGCTTGATTTCTTCAGGGTCGAACCAGTACCTTGGATCATGGCGTGTTGGCTTGATTTCTTTGGGGTCGGACCAGTACCTTGGATCGTGGTGCATTGGCTTCATTTCATTGGGGTCAGACCAGTATCTAGGATCATGGTGCATTGGCTTCATCTCATTGGGGTCAGACCAGTACCTAGGATCATGGTGCATTGGTTTGATTTCCTCGGGCTCAGACCAATATCGTGGATCATGGAGCATCGGTTTGATCTTCTCGCCGTCGGACCAGTATCTTGGATCATGGTGTACTGGTTTGATTTTCTCGCAGTCAGGCCAGTATCTTGGATCATGGTGCATCGGTTTGATCTCCTCGTCATCGGACCAGTACCTTGGATCATGGTGCGTCGGCTTGATTTCTTCGGAGTCGACCCAGTACCTTGGATCATGGTGCATCGGCTTGACTTCCTCGGTGTTGGCCCAGTACCTTGGATCATGATGCTTCGGCTTGCCCTCCTCGGAATCAGCCCAATATCTTGGATCATGATGCATCGGCTTGGCCCCCTTGGGGTCGGCCCAGTACCTTGGAACACGGTGCATTGGTTTCATCTCATCATTGTCGCCCCAATACCTTGGATCATGATGAATTGGCTCGTCCTCCTGAGAACCAGCCCAGTATCTTGGATCACGATACGTCGGCTTGGCCTCCTCGGGGTCGGCCCAGTACCTTGGATCATGGTGCATCGGCTTGAGATCCTCGGGATCGATCCAGTACCTTGGGTCATGGTGCATCGGTTGAAGGGGAAGTTGAATGTTCGAATCTTTTAAGTAGCAAAAGCCATTTAATTCGGTGTCCTTGTCAGAAACGCTGGTGGCGAGTCTGCATAGCAAAATCATTTGTGATATTCAAGTGACGCTGCATATCGGCATCACTGTTTCCACGCACTGTTGCACACGCTTCAACCAGTAAGTGCTTGGCGGATACGCATATAGCTGAAAAGTACGGTGAAAGTACGAGGACGAATAGGTTGTTCTTGGACATATTAATAAATACTAAATGAATAATATTCATTCTTATTATTAATGTTATTTTTGTTATTAATTTTACTTTAAGATAATTCGGAACATTCGCAGTGCTGAGGATTATGAAATGCACGATAAGGAAGTGTGGGCGTTAAATGATTGGTTTCTAAGGAATATTCTACTCATGAAGAAATCTAAAAAAAAGACTCCTCGCGAAAGAATTACAGCGTTTACTTTCCCTACAAAATTGTTTTTTAAAGTCCACTGTCGCGTTGGCGAGCTTTGAAATCTAAGTGTGTTTTTCGATTCCTCTTTCCGTTTTGACGCAGATGATGGTCGAATTGTTTTGTCAGCCCTACGTACCGTGGGTATTGCCTGAAGAACGCCTAGAGGATTTGCGAACCCCAGCAACTTGCTTGTTCTATATTTCGCAAACACTCTATCCCAACTTATACGCATCTATGGTCTGAACGGTGTCACTACCAACAATTCTTTAAAGCTGTATTCGGTGTCAAATAAATTCTTGTCAGTACATAGACATAGCAAGCTCCGTGATAATGCAGGTTGTTTGCGCAGATATAGTTCAAGAAATCATGTTTTTGAATGCAACTTACATCATCGGCGCGAGAAATCATATGTGATCAAATTTTAAAGCTAGTCCCGTAATTATTGACTGCCCTGACTTGCTGGAGTGGATTTCTTTTACAGACCCGCACGCGGCGAACTGTTTGCCCTGTACATTTTCATATTCACCGTACGCGGATTAGACGAAACTAAATGTCTCGCATGGGCTGTACATGCCATTGTAGTTGCCGTAACCTTTATATCATTAAAGAATATGGGGAACCCTTGGTCAAATCCATCTTGGCGCTCTACGACTCCCGACGAGTACGTGTGCTCCAATGGTTCGTCGTCGAAGTTGGCATTTTTTTCTGGATAGCGTGTCTATTTGCTTACACGTCTTGAATATTTCACAAATATGTTTTTTCAAATTATCGTTTTCTTAATAAAATTGGAGTCATAGTGAACGTGTATTTTAAGGTATGTTTATCCTTAACTTTGTTTTATCATTATTAGGTTTGGGATGTGAAGTGTTTTATTTGGATTTTCTAAAACCAAGCACCGAAGAGTCATTTCTTGGCACCGAATATACTGCAGATTGATTCATGATTATTATGCCGAAAATGGACAATAAAACCATATAAAATAAAATTCAGGCAAAAAATCAAAGCTTGAATTGCTAAAAAAAAATATACAGTACCCTGGCTGTGGAAGGCATCTTTTTAATGATTCTGCGATGACTTGTTTTAAGTGCCGCAGACTGAAGATGTTGTCGTAGGTGGTATCTCCCTGCAAGGGCGATCAAATGAAAAAAAAAACATATTTACATTTTAGAATTCCAGGACTCACTTGAAACACACACGATGGCAATTAAGTTGTCAGGTTGAGACTGCCTCAAGCTACGTGTTCACAACATATTTGCAAAAGTAGCATATTGTCCAGTGTCTACCGGGCGAGTTTAGAAACAGTACCGCATCTGGAAAAGCGAGTATTTCACTGTATACAAAAATATTTATAGCTCCAGGAAAAAAAACAAAAAAAACTCAAGAACTTGCGTTTGTGGTCCTTTAGCCTTAGGGCTAAGTTGGAAGTCACGGAGGCCTCAAAAAGATCCAACGTTAGCTAATCTGTTAGCTAATTCAATATTGCTTTTTTGAAATATTTCTTTGTATGATATATGGCGCTTAATGTAGTTATAGAATTGACGCTCGGCCTCCTTAAAGATTAGCCGTGAGGTGAAACATTAATTAACTTAAAAAAATGCGTATTGTGCCCTCCGCGACAAGAAATGTTAGCCTTGCGCACGACTTCCCACCGAAACTAACCCGTTGAAGGGCGCCGTTGACGTCGATTCTTCTGCTTCGCGCCGGCTGTGCAACCGACATCCCCTGGGCGCAGGTATTGTAAAAAGTGTGACGCAAATGCGAAAAGAAGGGATTAACGTCGAGGCGTGCTTTGCCGGGTTAGTTTCGGTTTGACGCCACGTACAAGAATAACAATTCACTTCCCGTAGCGCCCACTGCCAATTTATTATCTAAACTTCCATGTCACGCCTATGGTATAAGAAAATCGAGCATAAATTATACGGCAAAAATTTAAAAGCAGAAAGACAAAAGAAACGTTAGGGATGTTTTTTTTTAAGATTTAACTTACTAGCTAACCATTTACGCTTTTTTTTCGAGTGGCTTCCATGTCCTGCAACGTATCCACAAGGCTAAAACCCAGCACAAGTCCTCTAAGAAACAACATTCTAGATCAGTGGTGCTAAAGCATAAATGTTTCGGAGGCCCCTTTGGGTCCTGCCAAAGTGATGGGAGACCCCATGCCAGCAGTGGAACGGAAAGGGGGGAGGGTATAAAATAAGGCAACTAATTGCAATGCGAAGAGTGCACCCTTTACTGTTATACACAGGAAACGCGAGAAGCATCAACTGAACGGATGAATAAATGGGTAGATGGTTAAGCTGTACCCTTCATACCGGGCGGTTGCTTGTGCCACCTAGACAAGGTCAACGAAGAAGGCAATTGTTTTTTTTCTAGAAAAAAGCGTTGGGGGGTGGGAGGGAGAGGTTA